GGCTTTGTTATTAAAAATTGTTTAAATTTTTTATTTAAAAAAAAAGAAAAAAAATCAGTAATAATAATAATAGAAATAATAATAATAAAGAAATTTTATTTCTATTGTTAATGGCAATCGAAGTAAAAAAAAAAAATTCACGGAGTCTCGTTAAAAATTAAAAATGAAATAAAAATAAAAAAGAAAAATGTTTTCCTCCCCCTCCCTGTTATCAATAAAATCGGCCTGTTATCAGTAAAATTTTTTAATTTTTCCTTTTTTTGTCTTCTTTCTCGCAAAGAGTAATAAAAAAAAATTTTAATGTGATTTATAACGACGTAATAACATGTAATTTTACGTAACGATATTTTGCAAAACTACAAAAAAAATATTTTTTTGATGGTGTTATTTTTTTCCCATCGATTTCAAATGTTAAATGACAAACATTAATCGACGTACAAACAAACATACACGCGCAAACACAAACGCAAACAATCAAACATTTAAAAACAAAAATTTATAAAACGAAAATAAATAATTTTTTAAACTCGAAATAAAAATTTTTTAAGGTTTTATTAAAGTTAATAATTTGTTTGTTTGTTTTCTTCTCGTAAAGGCCGATTTAGAAAAAAAAATGGCGTCTACCTCTTGCGAAAAAAAAAACAAAAAAAGAAAAAAGTGAAAAAGTAAAAAAAAAAGAAAAACCCCTCACACAATTATTCTCGGACGTTTCGCCCCGGAAATAAAACAAAAAAAAACGGTTCCCTAAGGGAGAAGAAAAGGCCTTCTTGATAAATTGAAATAAAAAAAGAAAAAAAAAAAGAAGACATTTTTTTTCTTTTTTTTTTTTTTTAAAAAAAGAATCAAACGGCAAACAAACAAACAAACAAGAGAGCAAACCGAGACAACAACAACAACAGCAAATGTTATCGTATCATTAAGGAAGCTGTTATCGTGACTCTTTTATAAGAACCTTCTTTATCATCAATTACAAATTGTCTTTTTTTTCTATGTTTCCTATCTATGTTATACCGAAAAAAATTTATTTTAAATTATTATTATTATTATTTTTACCAATCGAAATTAATTGTTTTCTCGAAAGAGAGAGAGAGAGAATGTGAATTGCTGGAAAACAAAAAGAGAGAGAATATGTGAAATACAGAAAAAGAAAGGGAGACAGAGGACGTTAAATACAGAAAACGAGAGAGAGAACGTGCTTTTCTGAAAAGGGAGAGAGAGAGAACGTTGAAATTCTGAGAAAGAGAGAGAGAGAGAGAGAAGAAATTCACATTTAAATTTTAATTAACTACAAAATTATTTGAATTCGAATAATTGTTATTTAAACTTATACATACGCATGCATGTATGTAAAAAAAAAAATTTTTTTTTTGAAATTTAAATTAACAAAATATTATTCGCATAATTATTTATTATTAAATAAAATGAAAAGTTTTTAATAATTTTATTTATTAACCACAACTAAAAGTTGAATAATAATAATAATGATGATAATTTTTACGAACGTTATAAATTAAACAAAAAATTTTAAAATGAAAATTCATAGAAATTTAAGTAAATGATACATATAATAAAATTCAATAACTTTTTGCTAAGTCACGCGTGTTTGTCGTCTTGTTTCTTTCCCCCTTTCCTCCTTCCTTTTTTCCCCCTATTAAATATCATCCCGGAAAATTTATT